GTGGGGGGGTGGGGGGTTGTTTGTTTCTGTTTGTTTTCAGAGACCTTGGGAACTGCTGTTTTCCTTCCTTTGTTTAATAACAGCGTCAGCCATGTCAATAAAAGAGATCTATATTAGAATATATATACCTGTATTAGAACATCATACTAGAAAGCTTAAAAAGCTTTTAAAAAATGTGTAAACTTTCTAATAGCTCGCTTGGCGTGTGTTAGAGCACAGCCTCCCAGCCTGTGTGCCACACGTGGGTCACAGGCGCGCTCAGGCCTTGTCCTCCCTCTGCCACAAGGCCACAAGGTGGACACAGGAGCCTCCGGGCCAGTCAGTCCCAGCCCGGAGCGGCCTGCCCGCTGGTCTGGAGCTCCCTGCACGTCGCAGTTTTTACGGTACAAGGGAGCACTGTGTTAAACTCAGTCAGGAGTTTGAGTTTAATGTTATTCTAGGTACCAGCAAGAGCAGGAAGGAGTGTAGTATTTTCTTGCTATAATTTCTTGTCCACAAAGCACAGAGGAAAAAAGACTTGAAAATCTGTCATTTTTTCATATGTACACTGAATGGATCAAGACCCTCTATCAAATAATGCCTGTCCACTTCAACTAGGTGAAAAACATTGTCTTTTTTATAGATACTCTGTGAGGTATATGTCTAATATTTTTTCTCTCCTCAAAGTGTAAACTGTTAGACAACAACACTCTGATACAAATAGTCAGCATTACCCAGATTTTTAACATATGATCTTTTCTGTCAAACCTCCTATTTGACTCCATCATCGCTTTTGCCAGTGGAAATCTTCATTAAGCATAAGCCCGATGCCCTGCTCTCAGTCTTGGAAACTAAGACTCATTGGAGATAAAATAAATAAATAAATAAATAAAAGATGCACTTGAAGTTTTATGCACGGAGAGTACCCGACCAGTCAGTGACAGTGTACATTTTGCATTTTATGCCTAAGAAAGCTGGGAGATTTAGGATAGAACCAAAGGAAGGTAGTTTGTAAATGTCTTTATTCCTTCCTTAACATAGTGAAAGCGCTTCTAGAAACGTTCCACCAAATTCTCTTTATGTTAGTGTTAAGCGCGCCGAGGAATGGAGGTCCAGGGTTTGCTCTGTCCAGGTCTTTGATCTGCTTTGAAAAGGCTCCAGGTGATTCTGAGCATCCTTCATATTTGTGAATGACAGCCCTGATGGTTCTTATATTTTATGGAAACTCTGTCATGAATCTGTGTAAAATTTTATTTGTTTTTTAACTAGAGTGGATGTTTAATTACCCCCTGACTCATCTTTGTACACGCTGGATTTGGGGATCTTTTTAAGGTGATACATCTCTGTCATTTATGGTGTTGATTTTGCCATTCGTGCTCATGTTTCAGGATGGTGAGATAGGAAGATGATGAAAAAAAGGTGGACACTATTGTAAAATAAATGGGTTTAAAATTAGGAAATGTGTTATGTTTTATTGAAAAGAAATTATCGCATATTGAAAAGTGTTTTTAATGAAGTCACCGAGCTGACAAAAGTATTTTATAGGATTCCATTCCTGAACTTTGTTCTTTCCTTTAGAATACAGTGTGTTCTAGAAGGTCACACACCCTTTTGATAACTTACAAATCAGCCATTAAACTCTCTGTTTAATGATGATCAATACATTTATTGAATGCTTACAGTGTGTTAAGTTCTGTATCAGTATCTCATTTAATTCTCAAAACAGTCATATTGGATTGCTACCATTATTTACCTCTGTTTTATAGATGAAGTTGAGACACATAGAAATCAATAGCTTGAATTTACGTGGAAGTTCTCTAACTTGACCCCACACTCTTACCAGTTTGCTCTCATGCCCATCATCACGACCCTCAGCCCATGTCCCACAGTCGACCCTTAGGCTAACCTTATTTCTTACTACATCATTGTAATCTGTTAAAGCTGATTTATCAAGCAGGGATGATGACCAACTGTCCTGGTTTGCCCCAGTTACAGAACTTTGAAGTCCTGCCTCCCAGGAAACCCCTAAGTTCTGGGTAAACAAACTGTCACTCACCTTCAGCCTGTTTCTTACCCCAACCCTATCCCTGTATCTCATTCCAGTCCTCAGCCCTCAGCTCCTGGCGTGAGGCTCAGAGATGAGAATTGAGGAGAGAGAATTAGTTGTGAGTACACACACACACACACACATACACACACACACACGCACATTGTTTGGTATTAAAAAACAGTGTTTACACATTTTGATATTTCTGGATCCATGCACTTCAAAATAGCCTTGTCAAAGTGTAGAGAAGTAGTGCATGATATCACATTTCCATGAGTATTTCCCGTGCGTATAAAGCATATAAAGAGAATTGGCATAACATGCACCAAAGTAGGATGGAAGTGGGTATGAGATGGAGTAGACGGAACATTCACATTTTATACAATAGTATTATTGGAAGATTTTATAAGGATTATTTATTATATTGATAAGAGATTTATTAAATATTTTTTAAAAGATCAGACCATTTGATCAACCTAATTTAGGTTTGTTTTTTTTTTGTATATAATATTCTATAGTAAAGCTGTAAGTATATTTTTAAAAATTAGAAACAGGGCATATACATTTTTATTCAACAAAACAACAGACCCTCCTGTAAATACTTCTCTTTCTCATGGAAGTTAAGAGAGGAAAGAAGGTAGAAGGTGGTGTTTGAAACAGAGGGAAAAAGGAGAGAAACCCAGACGCACGAAGAAGAGACAGACAAGCCAGCGCAGAGAGAAGGGGACGTGGGAAGGGTGAGAAGCAGACAGTCTCGTTCTCGATTCTTCTGCCCGGTTTCCGTGTTCAGGACTTACTGCCATTTGTGCAAACTAGGCTGGGTTTGTGGGTTCCAGTTAGTAGAAAAGCATACGGAAGATGCAGGGTATCTGAATTTAGACAAAATAAAAGACCTGTTATTTTTAAAAGGTTCAACGATACATGTAGGGTTCATTCAGCTTTCTGAAGGCTTGTCAAAGCCAGACTCACTTCTCTGAAGTATATGCAATCAGTGAAACACGTATTGAGCATTTAGATCAACCGGTGGCACATTTAAGGACTTTGCCCAAGGACTTCTGTCCGTCTGATCTTTCACTGAGCACAACGTGCTTAACCGTACATAGTTTTTGGTTTATGAGACTTTGGACAACACGACAGAGTATGATGTCATCATATTTTATTTTATGTGATTGGTATCTACTTATATTCTTACATGGAGTTCTGTTTTGAATGTGATGTTGACTTCAGAGTTCAGATAAGACTTTTGTATGTCGTCACATGAAGGGATAGAATAAGTACTTCTTAAATAAGTTAGTTATCATTCATCCTGCTAATATATATATTTTCACATGTGTTTCTTGTGTGTATTCCTTGCGTGTACCCTTAGGTTGTAGCTACGTGAGTGGGCACGGTTAGGGGCCCTGTCCATATAAGGCTATAGGATCACGACTCAGAACTCTTACGTATCTTCGTGTGATGATGAGCTTTGGTTTCAAAATGGAATAAAAATAATCAGTTATTGTTGCTATTTCAATTTTACTGGCTTCGCATGAGCTCCTTCCCCTCTTGCATTTCATAGTTTTCACTTACAGCAGATCACCTTTCTACTTGGTTAAATCTTTAAGATTCTCTTTGGTGTTTTTTAATTAATGGCTTCAAAGAGAGTCCAACTGTATAATATTTGTGCTACATATTTTCATAAACTGTTGAATGTTTGACTTTGATATTCTTTTTCTTTTTATGTTTAAAAGGGTTAGTATTTCTTTATTACAAAGAACCGCAAAAGAGGATATCGCCTTACCTTACAGAAATGATTTAGGTTTGATTTACAACCACCACCAAAAAACATTTCTCTAAGTGAATATTTTATAGTAGCAATAGATTCCCAGGAGAAGTTGTTGAAAACCATCTGTATATATCCAGAAGAAGATGCTCATCTCTTTGGGATTGTTTAGATCACAATTTATTAAAGACAAACCAAAAAAAAACAATTGATATTTGCCTTGAAAAGTTAATTCGGCTTTAGTTTTCAGAACTTACACAATAAAGGCTCTTACTTCCATTGGTTTAAAGTCAGTAATATTACTATCATGAAGTAGTTGATAAAAACATGTTTCTTTTTACACATGAGTTAGGAAGCTACAGGATTTTTAAGAACAGAAGTTCTGTTAACTACAACTATGTCCTCTTTCCAAATATCTTACTCAGCATTCAATAATTTTTCAAAACAGTATTTTCCTATATTTGAAGAATATAGAACAAATTATGTCATTTTTCTTACTATGCAGTTGGAGAATTTGATGCTGGATAAAGATGGCCACATAAAAATTACGGATTTTGGACTTTGCAAAGAAGGGATCACAGATGCAGCCACCATGAAGACGTTCTGTGGTACACCAGAATATCTGGCGCCAGAGGTGGGCCTGGTTCTGTTCACAGGGAAAAATAACATTGACATCATGTTTTACAAATTATTCTATTTAAATGTTAAAAAAAAAAAATCACAGCATCTACTACTTTTACCTGGATTTCAAGATGAATCAAATCTCTTTTGCTTCCACTTATTTAATGTGGTATTATAGGGCAAAAATATATAGAAACTAAATTTTATAAACTTTATGAGCACAAAGGTGCTGACTGCAACATAGTCAATTTCTGTTTCTCGGCCGAATACATTTTGTTTCTTGATTGTGCCCGTGTTGATTGATTTATTAAAATGGAATAATTGAATGACTTCATCAGGAATGTTTTCAGTTTTAGAAACCATTTGGATTTTCCTTAGACACAAAGAAATAATGATAATTTGCTTTTGTAGTATTGTGGATTTTCATAATTAATTTTAGGAAGTATTTCATTGGGAAAGTTAATGCAATGATAGTAGCTACAGTTTTGAATTCACACCAAAGCAGACTCTAACCAGTGACCGCCCCGTGCGGAGAGTTCCACAGTAACTCGGTTATTTGTTTACTCAACGAATGTAGAGTCTGTGTCTCCTGTGTGTTGGGTGTTTTTCTGGGCGATGTGGTTACAGAAACAAGATACAACACTGCTTTCAGGGAACTCAGCCCTGGTGGAGGGAGACAGAATAAAAATAAATAAAGGACACAACATTGTGTAGTGAGTCAGTGCCAGTAGGAGAGAAAAGCTGGGTTAAGGGAAGGATGTGGTGTGGTGGCTGTTTTAGAAAGTGTTCCAGTCACTATTGCTGTGTGAAAATTCATTCCAAAACCTAGTGGTGAAAAACTGCCATTTTATG